GTTAAATCCAGATATCATGTTAAAGTCCAGTAGAGCATCTTAACATATTTAAAAGTTATTTTATCAGTCTGAGCATAGTATTTAGTAATTGTTTATATTATTTTCAGTTTCTTCAGGATCCAGATATCAGCACTTACATTTTCAAACCAGCAGTTCAGGTGGGGACTCAGACTGGGTATTACAATGATTATAATTATTCTACCATGTTTGAGGTATGTATCATCATGTCATGTATCCGCTTGGAATGGCCACCGGTCCATTCTGGGTTCTAGTGGCCTTAGTCTGCCCACTAGAGTGTGCACATGGTGTCCGACATTTTTATACTGGCAGATGAGGCAATGGTTATGAGGCAACGGTTACCGGTATCATGCTATGTTTAGTTCAGTTCATGTATATGCCAGGATCATGTTATTGTAATTATTTTCGCTGTTTACTTTAGTATGAGTTTCTGCGGAGTACAGTGTTTTTAGTACACACGCTCCCACTATTATCATGTTTTTCAGGTCATGAAGTCGGGACGGAGGAGTGAGATGACGGAGCTGTTTGGGACATGGCTAGTAGCAATTGTACATTATCGTACAGTTATGTTTTGCCACGCATAACTTCCGCTGTCACTTTACGATATTTCAACTAGCATGTCAGTTTTATTTGTAAACTGATTTATCAGACAGATTTTCTTTATAAAGTATTACATGCTAGTTGATCTAAAATAATCCGTTTATTCTTCAAAGTTAAATTTAAATAAAGGTAACGGATTTCCCAAGCAATGAATGATTTTTAGTAGCATCCCGAAAAGGATTTCGCAAATGAACATGTTTTATTAAGAAAAGAATTTGTGAAAAGCGCGCTCTGATTTTCAAGGCAAGGCGGGGTGTTACAGTTGGTATCAGAGCACGTTTTTGCATCTCTGAAAGTTTTCATGAGTCAGAAGGTTTTAGAAAAACCCGAACACGTCATGCTCACGCCTCGCCGACTACCAGGTAAGTGCTGATTAAGTTTTAAATTATAAACAATTTACTATTTCTATGCTCAGAAATTTCTCAGTTAAGATGTAGTTAAGATGCTCGAATCATGTTCATGATCAGTAGTCAGTATACTCGGGATTTTATATTAGTATTCCCCAGTCATGTTTAGCAACTTGTTAAGAAATTTGTGTACTTTATTGATCAGCTTCAATAAAGTCATCAGTAAGGATGTTCGAGCCCGATTTCAAAACTCTAGAAAGGGGCTAGGATTGAGAACCCTAGATTCCATTCTAGACATATTCAGATTAAGTTAATGCCTCGTTCAGTGATTTGTTAACAATTATGTTACACAAATCTTAGCAATCATGTTCCTTAGGCATTTTCTATCGAAAATTGCCCGTTTTGCCAATTAGTTGGCACATTCCAAGGAAGAATTCCTTGAGTTAAACCAGGGAATAAGTTGAATTGTACTAAGCAAGTCAGTAAATCAAGTTCAAGGCAAGATTTTTCATGCTAAAGGTTGTTAAAATTTTCAATTTATTGTCAAGGAAAACGGTTTCCAGTGTATAAGAGCCAAAAGTCTGGGTTACCATGGAGGCTTGAAATAAGAGCCATTAAGTCGGGTATACCATGGAGGCTTGAAGCTGAGACCGGAGCAGCACAGTTTCAGAAAGTAACAACCTTTAGAGTCAACTAAATTGGGTATCTTACCAGTTAGATACTCTGAGTTTAGTTGGCAAAGTTTAAGATCAGTTAATTATTCAGTACTAGCGGGACCAGTTGATACTGGAGCAGCCCTATATAGTACAAAGTCGTGAGTCAATGTTCACGATTTAAAGGCAATGTTCATGTATTAAGGTCGACGTATAATAGTTGTTCAGCCGGGTTAACATGGAGGTCTGTGATACAGACTATTAGTCCAGTTTTACCTGGAAACTTGAAGTCGTACCTTATCAAGTCAAGTAAGTTAGTAAATGTTATGTTCCAAATTCCGAGGCGACCATTTAGTTGTCTCAGAATAGCTTTCGAGGTTCAGATAAAGAATGATTCAGTTATGTAAAGGTCAAGTCCTGAATATTCAGTTATGTGAATGCTCAGGCTAGTCATGTCAAGTCAAGGATAGTCTGTCTAATAAGACAAGACTTATCAGTCATTTCAAGTATATCCAGTGCCTCGATTCTCAAATATTGATGATTTGAGAACTCGTAGGAAAGATCAGTTTATGATAAACTTTTCTTGAGGTTATGTTTGACCTCAGGGAAGGTAAACAGTTGCAGGTACAACCTGTCGATATACGACATGGCGGAAAAGACCAATCAACAGCAACAGATCATGCCATGATGATAACCGAGCTTTCCAATCAAAGATGAATGACGCCAGAAGAGAAGGATGCCATACCATGTTGAGTCACAGTATACTGGGAAGTCACAGAGAGTTAGCATTATAGTACATTGAGGTTACTAGTCGAGATACAGATATGATCAGCCATACAGACTACATCGACGTCGCAGGTACAATGTTCGCCAGGTGCTGTGTGCAGGTGTGCCGCACTCACTTGATGAAGAGCAGGTATGCAGCATTACAATGTGCCGCGAACGATGTGCCGCGTATAGAGTAGACATTCACGAAAGGTAGTTGCCAGGATTGCTAGTTACCCTCATTTGTACATGTGCATATCTCTGAGATTTTCCAGGAGTACTAACGACTGGGAGTTACTACAACCAACGTTTAGACAGAAGATCAACAATCAGTCAGGAGATGAAGACCAATATGCTGAAGAATTATATTTTAATGTTAAGTATAATAAATGGAACACTTTATCTTATAAAAGTGTCCCGTTTCAGTCAGTGTTAATCATCAACTCACTTAATTGTGAATTGTTGATTCCTCAGTTAAGATCAAGTCTAATGTTCAGTATTCAATACTGAATCCTCAAGTCATATCAGCGATGAGTATAAGCTTCATGTTAAGCTTGTACATTTCAGTTTTAGTATTTCCGAGGACGGAAATATTTTAAGGAGGGTGGGTTGTTATACCCCGAGTTTTATTAATAAAGGAAAATACTAGCTTTTAAATTTTAAGCTAGCCTTTGTTAATAAATAGTCATGTTCATGTTCAAGTTTAAGTTAATCAGCTAGTTAAATTTTAAGTTCGACTATTAGTCGATAAGTTTTCAGATTTAATTCCGATTCATTTAATTAGTTAATGAGTTCGGAATTAATAAGCCAAGTTGACGAATTATTCGAAATATTAATGTTTGGATTAATCGTCTAAGTCAAGAATATTAGAATTAAGTTCAGAAGTCAAGTTGTAACCGAAAACGAGTACGTTCGGTTAAGGTTACCAAATATGGACGTCGTCATTCCTATACAGCAACGCGTTCACATTGGTACACCGTCCATCATTAATTAAGCAATGGTCATTAGTCCTTGCTTAATTAACTTAATCCATGTTTAAGCTAATTAATCATAACTAGCTTATAATCATGATTAGTTTAATATTAGTGATGATTAATTAACATTAATCACGATTACTTAAGGATAATCGTGTTTATTTGGTGTTAATCCATGTTTAAGCCTAATTAAGTCCTATGCTTAGGCTTACGTCTTAAACTACACGCACACACGCATGTTGTGCATAGCCGCGCGTGTATGCGCGCACGCAATCGTGCATAGTGCACGTTGTCGTGCGCTCTTCTTAAGCACATGCTTTATTTCTTTAAGTACCATGATTAAAGGTAAGCTCCCAAGTACGGATAAGTCTCGGTGTAGTGGTGCGGTGAGTCACCTGCTTGCTCGCACACTTGGCACCGCACGAGCGC